AGGCAATAGTTCTACATCACCTCCCGAGGGCTGAGGTATTGGTGTGTTCCATCACACCCAGCAGAAATTCAAATTTGCAACAATAAAAATGCTGATTTAAAAATTCTTCTGGATCTACTCAGTCAAATTGAGAATCAGAACAAGAACCTGACTCTCCGCTTTCTTGCACAGCCAGAGAGGTATATCATTTGGCGAACAGGTGTCACCTCCTTCACTACTTCAAGGTCTTCCCAGGAATGGTTGGAACCACCGCCCTGACTAACTCCCTGCTTATGCAGCAGACCCTCTCCTGTAAGACTCTCTGACAGGCTGTGCAGCTTGTCCTCTCAGCAACCCATCCTCACTCCTGTTACTCCAGCTGGTACCATCCCATCTCTGCAGAAGGTGAGATACTCACATGTGGCTAAGATCATGGGAAAGAGAGGTTGTATCACATTGTTACTATCTCTGACTTTCCCAGGTCAAATAAACTATGATGAACATAGCTAGCCCTCTCGGATGTTTCTGTTTTTCTTGCACCATTTTTCAGAACCTGGACAACTGTCAATCAAATAGCTCAAGTCTCCCTGTTTCTCCTTGAATCTCTGCCAAGACACCTGTAACTGTCCTCTACTCTCACCCATTTGAACCAATCACAAATCTGTGCTGGGACCAATCAGATTTACACTTGGACCAATGATAGGCCTTCAGCTACTACATTAAAAACTACTCCCCTCACACTTCCAAGGTTAGGCTAGGAGTGCTCTTCCTGGTGTACCTCTGCTCTGCTGCACAGGTCCTGCTAAAATTAAGTCACATTCTGGTCCTATATATCTTACTCTGAGGAATGATGATTTCTCAGGTAGTGTCAACTTGGCAGATACTGTAAATCTACTCAGAATTCCGAGTAGTAAGGACAAAATAGTCACTTTAAAAGAACAATACACACCAGAAGCTGTTACCTCTAAAGAGTGCCAGGGACCGGCAGCAAAAAGGACCAGAAACAGGGCCAGCAGTGAGCAGGATCTAAAGGCAGCCAGCCCCAGCCACCATGATATAGCAGGAGTGAATAGCCGTAGAGACTGCCAGCCTGCTGAGTAGACCAATGGTGCCCAGCAGTAAGTGGAGCAGCTGGGATGACCTATGTTTTGCCAGTTCCTGATTTCTTTCTAAATCCAGATTGAACTTTCAATTGATTGGTGAAAAATAAATAACAAAATAGAGCATCTTTGTTAGTCATAGGTTCAGTGTTTCCTGTGTTTCTGAATCATCACCCTGTGAATCATTTTTAAAATGTTTATGGTAACTCCTTTGAGTTTAAAATCACCAAAATATATACTTTCTAAAGTATTTTTCCAGTGATCTTATTCTTTGGTTTTGTAACTCTTTAATTTTAGGACTGGGTTAATGCATATGCATACATCTGTAGAAGAAGGTGTATTCAGAGTTTCTCCTTCTAACCAAAATTCTCATGGCTTTGTCTTACTGACTCTGCAAAAGTATCAAGAACTTTTAAAAATTTGCTGAAACAACACTATTATTAGAATAAAGTTGACCAATGTTCTAAATGACACTTGTTGTGATTGAACAATATTTTTCTTTGCATTGCTAAGGACCATAATCTTTTTAATGAAAGAGGAAAGGAATATGTGAAACCACTATGAATTACTCATTGAAGAGATGTATGTTTTTTATTGGAAAGTCAGATAAAGGATTGCAAAATTTAAACTATTTTTCTTTATTTAGGACATTTGAATGCATATGATTGGAAGAATTTCTGCTCATCTATTCATTGAAAATATTAGTGGAATAGAGGAGAACCTTATTTCCATTCTGTCATAGAGAAAAATCTATTTTTACTAGTTTTAAATATAATTTAAACAGATATAAAAGACCCATTCTGCAATTAAAGTGATGGAAACAATTTTATCAATTTGTCCTCTAATGATGTAAGTCAGAAATATTAAAAGAAATATTTCTTTGTTCGTAAATTCTTCTTTACTTCATTTAGAACAGGGATGATATTAAGTAGAATTTCCTTCAATTTGAGTCTATCCATGACATGCTTCTAAAATAAATTCCACTTGAAAGATTAGAAATAATACTGAACTCAGTTTTACATTTCCCATGTCTCTCGGCCTTTGGCATTGTGGAGAAATGACATTCAAAATTTTCTGTACTGCTTTTCCACAGTAGCTAGCAAGATCCTGTACTTACTTTGCTTGACAATCTGTCAGAGCAGGATTAGTGTAAATTCTTCCTGCTTCTTTTTCTATGAACAGTTGAACACAAATGATCTTTATCCCCTAATGATATGACTTAAAGACTTTCCTTCTTGACACATTAATATAAATACTGTACAGAAAATTTAAGTATGTTAAAACTATTCTTTACTTTCAAAAGGTCCTCTTTTCTAGCTGTGTTACCTTCTATATTTTATACATTGTTGTGTTCCTTTTCCAGTTTGAGATTAATTGGTACACATCAAATCTATCTTCTCATTCACAGGTAAGTTGAAGTGCAGGAAATAAAACTAAAGAGAGCTATTGTTGACAGTCTGTTATATATTAAAGGTATACATAAACCACCTGAGACTTTCTCAAAACCACCAGTGAAAGAACAAAGCACAGATATTAATTTTAGTAAAACATATTTCACTGCTGAGGTGATTTTCAGAGGAAAATGTAGTCCACCTTATCTAAGTTGAACTATAAAAGTGTATTCACTTGTGATTGGGGGTGAGGAAGGCACAAATATTAAAGACTCTCAGTTAAAGGAAAGAAATAACTAGCTCTTGATTTTTTTGAAGGTTGATTCACATATACAAGGAGATGTTGAAAGGCCTTACTTGGGATGAGTTGGAGAGAACAGACTGGGATGATGGGGGTGGAGAACACAGAGGGAACAAAGAGGAGGAGGAGCGTATGGTACTGCAAGACAGCAAGAGAGAGGCGCAAAGACCAGAGATTCTGGAAGGCATCTTCCCCTCTTTCACTCTGGACGCTGTCTTGCCATGACCTGTTACTTGAGCACTAATTTACCACTAGTTTCATACTAATTAATTTACATGCCAGCAATGAAATTGAGAAGCTGCTTAACTGAAGAAAATGATCTAACACTTTAATTTTAATGCTGTCTTGAATATGACAATTTCAGAAAGTCCAATACAAGTGAGATCATGACATTTGTAAGTCATATCTGTTATAAAATATCTTTAGTGAGATTATACTTTGGACTAGAAATTATAGTACAGGGTACAGAGCATCCATCAAACATCCTTGTCCTTAACCTGTGACACTATTGGAGGGTGGCAGAATATTTATGGGTTGGGCAGAGTTGGAGGAAGCAAGGTAATTGAGGGTGTGCCCTTGAAGGCCATGCTGGGGCCTGATGCCTCTTGTCACTGCGTTTGCTTCTAGGCCCCCAGGAGGAGAACAGCTCCTCTGAGGAGCACTTCTGACATATGTCACGCATTACACTATCGATAGCCCAAGGACACTAGGGCCAAATAACTACGGACTGAAGCTCAGAAACAAAACAAGCCCAAGGCTTTCTTCTTTTTGAATTTGTTATCCACATATCTTGCCACAGAGACAGAAAGCTCACCAACATATTATACCAAAGATTGTAAAAAAAAAAAAAAAAAAGATTGTAGTTTATAGTAAAAAAATTTAAGTGTCAGATAATTATGCATGACAAAGGCTTACCACAGTGCTCTAAAATCATTATTGTCTTGAAAAAAAATCTATTTGTTGATCTCTCCTTCTTTACATAAAGCTATAGAGAGACGAATCTAGCAACCAGAAGAATACTTTTTAAAAGCATAAACAAAACCTCAAATATAAAACTAATACTCTGTAAACAAGAATAAAATCTTTAAAAATTTAAATTTTGTACCATAATAGATATCATGAGAAATTTATTGCTTTACTTAATTTAGTGTCAAATAGTTTATGATTAATTTGTGACATTATTTCACTAGAGATCATACATACTAAACAGGGAAAATATTTTCCTTGAGAAGAGTAATGACAGAACAATTTTACTTAAAATGAAATGTTTTATCGTTTACTGGATCCTTGGTCCAAAATATAAAAATATTTAAAAAGAACATCTCAGGAACACAAAGCATGCACTGATATAATCATTTATTAAAGGTATAGTTTTACACAAAAGTGAAAGCACCATCAGGGGGCCGGGGAGGTAGCTCAGTAGAATAAGCGCTTGCCTGGCAAGCACAAGGGCCTGAGTTCAATCCCCGGTTCCGGAAAAAAAAAAAAAAAAAAGTGAAAGCACCAAATGAACTTACTTACTTACTTATAAACAAACATGCGTAAATCCTAAACATTACTCAACAGTATCCAAATGAATACAACACTGCAGGAAAGGTACAAAATCATGGTACTGAAAACTTAAAAGTTATACTGGAAATACTGATCTGCAAATTGTGAATTTGCTAATAAGCCTCCCACCCCTTCACAGCTCTGGTGAGGGGCAGAAACCGCAAATCTGCCTCCAGACCTTGCCAGTCCTCAGAGACACTGCTGCAGGGGTAGGGGACAGGGATGAACTCAAGAAAGCTGGCTTCCCAAGAGAAGATTTGAGGCCCCTCCCTCTTGGTGACCTCGCTGGGCACAGAAAATATCTGTGCAGAGTAGACTGATTTGGACTGGAATGGTCTCCACGTGGGCAGTTGGCACATCTCACTTCACATAGTCAATGCCACCATGAATAAAATGTAAACATTAAAGATTCTTACGATACAAAAAAAGGTATAGTTTTAGATTACTGGTGTTCATGAGCTCATAACACACTCTAGATGTTTCCATTCATTTGATTATAACTATAAAACTAAAAACAATTATTTGCTATAATATTTGAGGTTAATGGAAAACAAGCTTACAGCAATATAATTACCGTTAGGTATGTGCAGAGAAACAAACCTCCTTGTGGACTTTGTGCCTTAAAATCTTGATTGATTGCGATGAACACAAAAATATGAATGAATTTTCATCACTCACCTCTTTTAACATTTCTGCCTGTACTTGTGGCCTTATCTGCAGGACACGGGCACCTTCCTTCACATTTGACTGAGATCTGTTTTCCTATGACACATGCCTGATATTCGAGTTTGCACTGCATAAAAATAGAACAAAAATATTTATTAATTCAGAAACACTTGAATTCTTATAAAAGAATATTTAGAAAAAATTGATAGACATATAATTTGAAAAATCATCCACTACCTAGTATTTATTTGAAGTACTAAGATGCAATTTTATACCCTCATGTATTGTATATTGTTCCATGAAGGAGTCAGAAATGCAGTTGTCTTGGTTACTTTGGAATAAGGTTTTTTT